ACTCTTTTAGAGAACTACAGACCGGTTTCCCCTCTACCTTTCATTGCAAAAACACTAGTTGTGTTCAACCAAGTCTCAGCCTTTCTCACACAGAATAACCTCCTGGACAGCAACCAATCTGGCTTCAGAAGTGGACATTCGACCGAGACTGCCTTGCTTTCAGTTGTTGAAGCCCTAAGACTGGCAAGAGCGGCTTCCAAATCTTCTATACTTATTTTGCTGGATCTGTCTGCTGCTTTTGATACGGTGAACCACCAGATTCTCCTGTCAACCCTATTGGAAAATGGCATCTCAGGAACCGCACGCCAGTGGTTTGAGTCTTACCTCTCAGATAGGTCCTTCAAGGTATCTTGGAGAGGTGAGGTGTCCAAGTCGCAACATCTAGCTACTGGGGTGCCTCAGGGCTCAGTACTTGGACCACTTCTCTTCTCTGTCTACATGGCATCACTAGGTTCTGTCATTCAGAAACATGGCTTTTCATATCACTGCTATGCTGATGACACTCAACTCTACCTCTCATTCCATCCTGATGATCCGACGATAGCTGCTCGCATCTCAGCATGTCTAACAGACATTTCTTGTTGGATGACGGACCATCACCTTCAACTCAACCTGGCTCAGACAGAACTGCTTGTGGTTTCAACAAACCCATCACTTTATCAAAATTTCACCACCCAGTTAGGTATCCATCAACCATAACTCCTTCAAAACAGCTAGAAACATTGGAGTTGTGATTGACGATAAGCTGAATTTCTCCGACCACATTGCTAAAACTGCCCGGTCCTGCAGATTTGCTTTATACAACATTAGGAAGATCAGGCCCTTTCTTTCAGAACATGCAACACAACTCCTAGTTCAAGCTCTTGTTCTATCCAGGCTGGACTATTGCAATGCTCTCTTGGCAGGTCTTCCAGCCACTTCTATCAAACCTCTACAATTAATCCAAAATGCCGCTGCAAGATTAATCTTTAATGAGCCGAAAAGAACACATCACACCTCTGTTCATCAATTTGCACTGGCTACCAGTAGCTGCTCGCATTAAATTCAAGGCATTAATGTTTGCCTACAAAACCACCACTGGCTCTGCCCCCATTTACCTACATTCATTACTTCAGACTTATGTGCCCTCTAGAAGCTTGCGTTCTGCAAGTGAATGGGATATTATTGTGCCATCTAAAAGAGGCACAAAATCACTTTCACAGACTTTTTCATTAACTGTTCCCTCCTGGTGGAATGACCTGCCCGAATCAATCCAAGCAGCTGAGTCCTTAACCATCTTCAAGAAACGACTAAAAACACATCTGTTCCACCTTTATTTGACCCTCTAACTCTAACACGTTCTATTCTATTTTAATTCTACTTTATATTTATCTTTTTTTAAATCTTTATTTAAAAAAACAACAAAAAACAAAAACTAGCTTTCTATCTACTTGTTTTTCTTTGTTTGTGTGTGTGTATATGTGTGGATAAAATCGTCTGCTAAATGACTAAATGTAAATGTAAATATATTATAGTTTGCAAATATTTTGTAAATACTTTATTACTGTCTACTTATAATAAAGTGTTAACAATTTATTCATTCAAATGTTGTAAGTAACTTAAGTAAGCACAAATGTCAGGGCACTTCACAACATCTCTAAGACCCGAAAAATGTCTCAGGGTCTGAGTTATGTCCTGAGGGTTCATAACTCATCTGTGCTCAACACTGCAACAAATTGTTCATAAATCAAACTGATCCAGTTTAACTCCCTGACTCAATGATCCGGTCACAGCGGTTGTCAGGTTATCAACACACTGAATGTGAGTAATATGATTCTCAGAGCAGAGGATTTTACTGATGAAGTTAAAATAAATGTATAGTAATAATCAAATTCATAAGGAACGGGAACATGTTTCTAAATTAACATGAAACAGTTAATTGTAACAAACTCTTTAAAAAAAGTCACTTAAGGAAATTGAGTTATTATTTAACTTTCATAATTGGAAAACAGCATTACAAATATCCAGGTTTTCCATGATGGTTGGGAACCCTGATTGTTTTCTCGTCATGTTTTTTTTTTTTGAGTAGGTATTGCCTGCCTTGTGCCCTGGGAGAAATGCCACTGATACAATCGTACTACAAAATAAACAGGGGAAAATATCTGCTAGCCATAGCTATGAAACGCCTATTCATCCACATATTTGAACATAGTGATTCAGTTAATGTGAATGTCAAACCTCAGGATGTTCAGTCGACAATGTGGACTCCTTAATCCATCATAAAGCAGCTTCACTCCTGAATCCTGCAGGTGATTGTTACTCAGGTCCAGCTCTGTCAGATGAGAGTTTGATGATCGTAGAGCAGAAGACACAGTTTCACAGCATGTTTCATCAAGACCACAGCCATCAAATCTGACAAAACAACGTTTAGACAGATTATTTTCTGATGTTCAGTGTTTCTGCAATAACAGGACAATCTTTCACATAGTATTTTGACATTTAATTGTTTAGTGTTTAATTGATGTTTAAAATGTTTAATTGAACAGCAGTCAGTGAAATTACTCACAGGGCTTTTCTGCAGCATCTCACAGCTGGAATGAGTCTTGTGTAGTTTGAAGATGATGTGAACCTCTTTGGGTTGAACTGATCCAGCACCTTCTCAGACATCAGCAGTACTGAGGTCAACACTGCGCACATTGAAGATGAGAGGTCTCTTCCTGGATGTTCATCTGAACTGAGGTAACTCTGGATTTCCTCATATAATGAATGATCTTTCAGTTCAAGTAAGCAGTAGAATAGGTTGACTGAAGTTTCATCTGAGATGTCCTGTTTTTTTAATTCTTTAATGTATTCAGTTGTTTGTCTGATGCTCACACTGGTGTCTTTAGTGTGTGTGAGCAGGCCTTTGAGCAGGTTCTGACTGGATTCCAGTGAAATTCCCATCAGAAACCTCAGGAACAGGTCCAGATGTCCTCTCTCACTCTGCATTGCTTTATCAGTGGCCATCTTTGTTAAGTCATGAAATTTGACATTTCTAAAGAACTGAATCTTTTGTCTGGCTGTAGTTTGTGAATCTTCAAAGAAAAACTGAAGTTCCTGCATGTTCTTATTCAGGTAGCAGATGAACACATGCACTGCAGCGAGAAACTCTTGAACACTCAGATGCACAAAGCAGAAGACCTTTGTCTTATAAAGTCCATTTTCCTTCTTAAAGATCTCAGCGATCATTCCTGTGAACTCAGTGTCTTTACTCACATCAATACCACATTCTTTCAGATCCTTCTCATAGAACACAATGTTTTCCTTCTTCAGCTGTTCAAACGCTAGCTTGGCTAACTTCAAAATCATCTTTCTATTTAATTGTAAGTGCTCTGTACGTTCTGTTTCTTCTTGTTCATCGTACTTCTGGCTCTTCATGTTCAGCTGTATCAGCAGGAAGTGAATGTACATTTCAGTGAGTGTTGTGCTGATGTTCTCTTCATTGTTTTCAATGAGAATATCCTGAAGTACTGTGACTGCTATCCAGCAGAACAGAGGAATGTGGCACATGATGTAGAGACTACGAGACATCTTAATGTGTGAGATGATTCTGGAGGCTTGAGTCTCATCTGTGATTCTCTTTCTGAAGTACTGCTCCTTCTGTTCATCAGTGAATCCTCGCACCTCTGTGAACAAACCCCCACACCGAGGAGGGATCTGATTGGCTGCTGCTGGTCGTGATGTCACCCAGACGAGGGCTGATGGAAGCAGCTTAGCTTTCACCAGACTTTTGAACAGCACATCTACAGATGCTCTTTCCTCAACAGTGTCCAGTGTGTCGCTTTTAAAGTTCAGTGGCAGTCGACTCTCATCAAGTCCATCAAATATAAACACAAGCTTACATTCCTTATATAACTTTGATTTCTCCAGGTCCTTCAATTCAGGATAAAATTTCATCAGAAACTCATGGAGATTGACCTCTTTATCTTTAATCACGTTGATCTCTCTGAATGGAAGCAGGAACACACATTCTATATCCTGATTGGTGTTTTCTTCTGCCCAGTCCAGGATGAACTTCTGCACAGAGACAGTTTTTCCGATGCCAGCGACTCCCTTGGTCAGCACAATCTTCTCCTCATTGTTTTTCCTCAACTCAGTAAATATATCATTGCATTTGATTAGTTTGTCCTGTGTTTTTTTGTACTTGAAAGCTTCATCAATCTTCAGAATCTCATGTTCATGATTGACATCTTTCTTATCTCCCTCTGTGATGAACAGTTCTGTGTAAACAGCCATGAGATCTGTGTCGTTGTCTTTGTTGCCCTCAAAAATACATTTTGCTTTCTTCTTCATGTTGTTTTTGTGAGTTTTCAAGAAGTTTTGCAGTTCTATAATTAAAAACAAATAAATAAGATTGACCAAAAAAGCATTAAACAAATTTGACAATTTTTTTTTTTTATATCGGAATGATCTTCATTATTAAGAACTGATGCAGACAGATTAAATTCATACCGCTGAAAACCGCACAGACCATCCCTAAGAGCTTGCTTTAAAATTTCTGAATATGTTTTTATGTTCTTTCCAGATCACAATCATTGGATTGATTGAGATCATCTTTAGGCCATGCTGACTAATGTTACTAAAAGCTGATGAATGGTTTCCACATTATTTAGAACATCAAACAGGATGTGAGGCTGTATTTACAACTTTTGCTTAAATTAACCTTTCCATGACTGACAATCATGTCTGATTGTAATCATGCCTTGATGACACTGAATCAATTTAGTGACAGTGCCATCTATTCAACTTTAATAAACAATTGTATCACAATATGCTTTTATGGTGCGTTCAGGTCATGTCGGATAGATCGTATTTACAAGTTGAATGCACATGAACGCCACCACAAAGTCGTTATTACGAGTGGGGAAACTCGAAATTTTCTTTAAGGCCCGAGTTTCCGAGTTGGGGGCGTGTCAATGAGAAACATAATGGAATCGATGGATGCAACGTCTGTAGTTGACGGTAAATTTTTGTTTAAATTGATAATTTAGTTGTCCTATAAACTTAAATTGTCATGTTCTTGTTACGCAGCTGAAATCCAAGTAAAAAAAAATGCAGACCCTGTTGTATTTTCTTGTAATTTATTAAAAGAAGGTACCCCACCATCTTGTGCCGACTAAACTGACTTGACGTCGTAATTATGACTTGTCAACTCATAAGTACGAACGTTCCAGGAGGACTTGAACGCAGCATTAGACTATTGTGAACTGGATATCACTGGAGAAACACTCTGTTCTCTTCTATATATTTGTATAATATCTGCTGCTGATGTGACTGGCCCTGTAATTGCTGCTTGCAGTTATATTTTCTCTTGTTTCCATTTACGGGAAGTGATTGTTATTTACCACAGATCTGTTGTGAATTACCTCCAACAGGGACAGGTGTCTTCATATTGCCCTTAGCCTGAGCTGTGTGCGTGAGTGAGAGAGAGAATTACTCACAGCAATGCAAAAAGGAAAAAAAGGTTTAAGTCACACATGTAAATATTTAGCCATGTTACAGTCACAGTGAATTAAATGTTACCTTGCTTATGTTCATTCTCCAACTCTTCAGCCAGATCATTCTGGTTCATCTTTCTCAGGATGTCCACTGTGATCTTCACAGCTTCTTTTGATCCGAAACATGTTACCATCTTTTCCACTGTGTCGAATATATCTGCCTTTTCCATTTCAGACTTTGATATACACTTATGATATGCAATCATTAAGCGCCAATGAAACTCCTTCAGTTGAGCTTTTACAAGCTCCTTCAATGAGTCCACGAGCAGCTCTTTAACAGACGCCATCGTCCTTCACCGACTCACAGCTGCAGGACAAGAAGAAAAAGATCTGTAGTTGCATTCTTAACATGTAGGCCTAAGTGTTTAAATGTTATTTGGATTATGAAGCTGTGTGCAGAGACATGAATCATCAGAGAGTTGTGTAAAGCAAATTTGCTATAATTACTTTAAATTGCTTTTTGTTATGGAGTTTTGTTATGAAAAAAATAGGTACACAATGCTGTACACAATCTGATGTTCACAATCAGTATGTTCACATGGACAACAATATTCCGATATTAACACGATTAAGATAATACTCTGATTAAGAATCAACCATGTAAACAGATTTTTGATTACTTTAAGTATGACTTTAGCCGGATTAAGGTAAACACAAATCGAATTAAGACATGTGGAGTATTGCTATTTTAGTCGCATTATTGAAGTGCAGTACACATGTACACACTTAATCACACTATTACCATCGTGTAGGACTTTTCGCCGTATTTTGTGACAGGATACACACTCGGCAGTGGTCAACCGTTTGACAGCAAACAAAAGAGCATGGTTTCAAGCAAGGAGGCACATTTTTATCCGTCGTCTTCTGTTTGCACGTATAGCATGACAAATAATTAACTGCACTTGAAGCTTTCGTAAAATTAAAAATGAAACACTGCATAACATGGAGGCGCCCGCACAATCCCTTGCATTTTTTTTTTTCCTGTGGAAAGAACTTAAGGCTACTCCGTCATTTTTGGTCATACAGGAGTAGCCTAACAGGCTACATCATTTGTAAAAAAATATATATATATATTTCTGATTTTATTTATGTTCACTCACAATAACACCAAAACGCTGTGCTTTTGTAAGATAGAGAAAGTAAACAGAATGTGCTTTCTGCCGTCTCATGCAGTCTCCGTGAAATGGAGCGCGTCACAACAATGCTACTTGAATTAAATTAAATCAATGAAAAGCTAGCTTGAAATGTCTACTATTGAATGAACCAATTCAAATAAAAAACAAATATTATCTAATTATGTAGTCTGTATGAAAAGGTGCATTTCTCTAAGCTATTAAAGGCAAGTCCATTACTGTGGAGATGGCGAGTCAGCATTCGGCAACTTAATCTTTGCAGCCGACACTGACTGAGAAAGCACTTGTTTATTAATAAATAAATTAAAATGTCTTCTTTTTTCCCGGCACATTCATAATCATTACTTTTGCCAGTGCATTGCGGCAAGCTTTATGTGTGAACTTAAGTTAAAATATAGGCATATACAGGACGTATTATAGCCCATTCCACAAAGATGGTTTAGTAGGTTATTATATTAATCAATTTAAAATAAACTTGCGACTAGCTGACTCGATCTTTAGTTGGGGGCAGGCCTACTTGGCACAAGGAACCAATCCATTTTTAAAATAAATGCTATGACATTATGAAAAGTGTGACTGCAAATCTTGTCACGTTATATTGCATTGCACGAGTTAAAAACATTTGATTTATTACGCATGCTTATTTTATTTATTTTTTATGTGTGGGGGTGCAATGGTCTTTCTTGGGGGTGCTGAAGCACCTGCTGGCCCCTCCCTAGCGCCGCCCATGGGTACCGAAGAGGAACTGTATGCTGATACAAGAAATTCTGGAGGGAATGTCAAGATGGTGTCGCGTGGCGACGTAATGACGTGCCATTAATTGATCTATGTACAATAAAATGTAAAACGGGAATAAAAGGAATATTCTAAAAGCAACTCATGAAAACACCTTAATCATAATATTGTCTTATTCAGGATAAGGTAAATAATTAGATTACTGATGTCCATGTAAACGTAGTCAATGTCTCAATGCTGTCTGATACTGTGAGTGCAGAATCAATACAGTAGAGAAAGTAAACAGAATGTGCTTTCTGCCGTCTCATGCAGTCTCCGTGAAATGGAGCGCGTCACAACAATGCTACTTGAATTAAATTAAATCAATGAAAAGCTAGCTTGAAATGTCTACTATTGAATGAACCAATTCAAATAAAAAACAAATATTATCTAATTATGTAGTCTGTATGAAAAGGTGCATTTCTCTAAGCTATTAAAGGCAAGTCCATTACTGTGGAGATGGCGAGTCAGCATTCGGCAACTTAATCTTTGCAGCCGACACTGACTGAGAAAGCACTTGTTTATTAATAAATAAATTCAAATGTCTTCTTTTTTCCCGGCACATTCATAATCATTACTTTTGCCAGTGCATTGCGGCAAGCTTTATGTGTGAACTTAAGTTAAAATATAGGCATATACAGGACGTAGTATAGCCCATTCCACAAAGATGGTTTAGTAGGTTATTATATTAATCAATTTAAAATAAACTTGCGACTAGCTGACTCGATCTTTAGTCGGGGGCAGGCCTACTTGGCACAAGGAACCAATCCATTTTTAAAATAAATGCTATGACATTATGAAAAGTGTGACTGCAAATCTTGTCACGTTATATTGCATTGCACGAGTTAAAAACATTTGATTTATTACGCATGCTTATTTTATTTATTTTTTATGTGTGGGGGTGCAATGGTCTTTCTTGGGGGTGCTGAAGCACCTGCTGGCCCCTCCCTAGCGCCGCCCATGGGTACCGAAGAGGAACTGTATGCTGATACAAGAAATTCTGGAGGGAATGTCAAGATGGTGTCGCGTGGCGACGTAATGACGTGCCATTAATTGATCTATGTACAATAAAATGTAAAACGGGAATAAAAGGAATATTCTAAAAGCAACTCATGAAAACACCTTAATCATAATATTGTCTTATTCAGGATAAGGTAAATAATTAGATTACTGATGTCCATGTAAACGTAGTCAATGTCTCAATGCTGTCTGATACTGTGAGTGCAGAATCAATACAGTACATGACACTAAATCTATTTATGTCCGTATCTTACGAAGTAGTATTTACCTACCATGAATAATGATAATGTAGATGTCCACTGAACTGCGAACTGAAGTTCTGAAACTCTTTTCAATTCTGCATTTTTATAGGACTCTCGATGTGGATGGTTTTCTTCAGAGCTTAAACCTGTTAAACCAGGAAAATTTCAGAAAACTGATGAAACAAGTTTTTCAACAGACTCCAGAGATGAAAGTAAAACCATATGGAGAATACACTGTCTGCAATAAACAGACCTACACACAATGTATCTGACATACCATTAAGTAAAATAATTGACAAATTACAGGTAAAACAACAAACAACAAGTCAAACTGGCCTTAAAGTTTAATCAGGATCATGTGTGTGAACTGTGTATATTTATATGCATATATACTGTAAATACACACACATACATGTATATATTTAAGAAATATATGAACTACATGTTTATATTTTTGTATAATATAAACCATTTATAAATATGGATATGTTATAGGTAAAGGAACATTTTCTAAAGTTTATTATTATTTATTTTGGAAACCATATACCCTTAATGAGGTTTTATACCATGGTCTTACTAATAGGTCTTCTACAGTTAAACTCTAGTTTGCAAGAACTATGGTAAATTGCATTGGGGCAATTAACCATGGTCTTACTAATAGGTCTTCTACAGTTAAACTCTAGTTTGCAAGAACTATGGTAAATTGCATTGGGGCAATTACAAAGCATAAGTTATTTATCTATTTGTTTGTTTATGTGCATAGAACCCACGAGTAAGTAGTTACAAACATTCTAGAAAATATCTTCATAACAGTTTGAAATGACATGAGAGTGAGTAAATGATGACATAATTTATTAGCAGTAACTGTATACAGGTGCATCTCAATAAATTAGAATGTCGTGGAAAAGTTCATTTATTTCAGTAATTCAACTCAAATTGTGAAACTCGTGTATTAAATAAATTAAATGCACACAGACTGAAGTAGTTTAAGTCTTTGGTTCTTTTAACATTCTAATTTATTGAGATGCACCTGTACATTCATACACACACACACACATATGTAATGTGTAATTGTATAATAACCATATATCTGAACAATGTATGTCTAATTTATATATTAGAAATTGTTAGAAATATATTAGAATTTTTTAGACTGGCATCTTCCTGTGGTCTTGTTTGGTATGGCAGGTTGACCTGTGCTTATTTGTTAAAGGGGTCTTATTATGCTCTTTTACAAAGTCTTGATTTTGTTTTAGTGGTGTACTAGAACAGGCTCTCATACTAGGTTGTTCGAAAAACACATTATTTTTCACATATTTTACATTATTACAACACCTCTCTCCACCGTCTGGCATGAACGGCTCGAATTTTTCCTGCATGAAATGATGGCCCGCCTTCTGAAATACGAAATGTGCTGTGATTGTTTAGCTGGGCCAGTGTGTGCTGTGATTGACTCCACTCTGCGCCTGGTCGGGAAATGTCATAACCGCCTGCGAGCTTCAGTGTAAATATTACATCAAAATCAAATCAATTTGAGCGTGATTTAAACCCGGATGATTGTAACCACTCTAAGTTCGTCTGCCTTGGGAAAGCTAGCGTGTCTCCGACATAGTGATAACGCTCGTTGCCTTCTCTAGTGCAGCTCAACCAGGTCTCGTCCCATTCGTCTGTATTTGTGATATTAGAAATCCCGGGAAAATATGCGCAATGATATTACGCAGCGCCTGAAAATAAGCGAACTTCCGTCAACATAACCAACATGACCACCTTGCACAGGGAGCGTGCCTTGCAACTTAGTGCCGGTCACATTGGAAGTTACTTAGTTGGAACTATTTTCAGCCGCTGCGTAATATCATTGCGCCTGCTGCACCCATGGTAAGGCGGCAGCAAAGTTCCTTGATTATTATGCCAGAATGAGAGTATAGTACATGACCACCTTGCACAGGGAGCGTGCCTTGCAACTTAGTGCCGGTCACATTGGAAGTTACTTAGTTGGAACTATTTTCAGCCGCTGCGTAATATCATTGCGCCTGCTGCACCCATGGTAAGGCGGCAGCAAAGTTCCTTGATTATTATGCCAGAATGAGAGTATAGTTCCTAGTCATATCGGCCTAGAAA